GGCCAACATCACGCTGATACCAAAACCTGACAAGGACAGCACAAAAAAGGAGAACTACAGGCCAATATCGCTGATGAACATAGATGCAAAAATTCTCAACAAAATTTTGGTAACCTGAATTCAGCAATTCATCAAAAGGATCATACATCATGATCAAGTGGGATTCATACCAGGGACACAGGGATGGTTCAACAGCTGCAAATCAATCAACGTGATACACCACATCAACAAACTGAGGAACAAAAACCACATGATCATCTCAATAGATGCAGAGAAGGCATTTGACAAGATCCAACAGCCATTTATGATAAAAACTCTGAACAAAATGGGCATAGAAGGGAACTACCTCAACATAATAAAGGTCATATATGACAAACCCATAGCCAACATCATACTCGATGGGCAAAAACTGAACCCCATCCCCCTGAAAACAGGAACGAGACAAGGATGTCCTCTATCACCACTCTTATTTAACATAGTACTGGAGGTTTTGGACAGAGCAATTAGGCAAGAAAAAGGAATAAAAGGAATCCAAATGGGGGGGAAAAAGGGAAACTTGCTGTTTGCAGACAACATGATCCTATATATAGAAAACCCCAAAGAATCCATTGGAAAACTTTTAGAAATAATCAACAACTACAGCAAAGTTGCAAGGTATAAGATCAATTTACATAAATCAGTAGCATTTCTATACTCCAATAACGAACTAACAGAAAAAGAACTCAAGAACACAATACCATTCACAATTGCAACAAAAAGAATAAAATACCCTGGGGTGAATTTAACTGAGGAAGTGAAAGACCTATATGACAAAAACTACAAGGCTTTTCTGAAAGAAATGGATGATGACATAAACAGATGGAAAAACATTCCATGTACTTGGATTGGAAGAATAAACATAGTTAAAATGTCCATTCTACCTAAAGCAATCTACAGATTCAACGCCATCCCAATCAGAATCCCAATGATATCTTTACAGAAATAGAACAAAGAATCCTAAAATTCATAAGGGGCAACAAAAGACCCCGAATTGTTAAAGCAATCCTGAGAAAAAAGAACAAAACGGGAGGCATCACAATCCCTGACTTCAAAACATACTACAAAGCTACAGTAATCCAAACAGCATGGTACTGGTACAAAAACAGATGCATAGATCAATGGAACAGAATTGAAAGCCCAGAAATGAAACCACACATCTATGGACAGCTTATCTTCGACAAAGGAGCTGAGGGCCTACAATGGAGAAAAGAAAGTCTTTTCAACAAATGGTGCTGGGAAAACTGGAAAGCCACATGTGAAAGAATGAAAATTGACCATTCTTTTTCACCGTTCACCAAAATAAACTCAAAATGGATCAAAGACCTAAAGGTAAGACCTGAAAACCATAAGCCTTCTAGAAGAAAATGTAGGCACTACACTCTTTGACATCAGTATTAAAAGGATCTTTTCGGGACACCATGTCTTCTCAGACAAGGGAAACAACAGAAAGAATAAACAAATGGGACTTCATCAGACTAAAGAGCTTCTTCAAGGCAAAGGAAGACAGGAGTGAAACAAAAAAAACAACCCACTAACTGGGAAAAAATATTTGCATCATACATCTGACAAAGGCTTAATAGCCATAATATATAAAGAACTCACGCAACTCAACAACAAAAAATCAAACAACCCGATCAAAAAATGGGCAGGAGACATGAATAGACATTTCTCCAAAGAACATATACGGATGGCCAATAGGCACATGAAAAGATGTTCATCACCAGTGATCATCAGGGAAATGCAAATCAAAACTACACTAACATATCATCTTACACCCATTAGAATGACAAAAATAACCAAAACAAATAGTAACAAATGTTGGAGAGGTTGTGGAGAAAAAGGAACCCTCATCCACTGCTGGTGGGAATGCAAACTGGTGCAGCCACTATGGAAAATAGTATGGAGATTCCTCAAAAAATTAAAAATAGAACTACCATATGATCCAGCTATCCCACAACTGGGTATCTATCTAAAGAGCTTGAAATCAGCAATTCCAAAAGTCCCATGCATTCCAATGTTCACTGTAGCATTATTTACAATAGCCAAGACGTGGAAGCAACCTAAGTGCCCATCAACTGATGACTGGATAAAAAAGATGTGGTATATATACAATGGAATACTACTCAGCCATAAAAAAGAAGAAAATCGTCCCATTTGCAACAACATGGATGGACCTTAAGGGAATTACATTAAGTGAAATAAGCCAGATAGAGAGGGACAATCTCTGTATGACTCCACTCATATGAGGAATTTAAAAACACAGACAAAGAGAACAGATTAGTGGCTACCAGGGGAAAGGTGGGGTATGGGGTGGGCACAAAGGGTGAAGGGATGCACCTACAACATGACTGACAAACAATGTACGACTGAAATTTCACAAGACCGTAACCTATCATTACCTCAATAAAAATTAAAAAAAAAAAAAAAAGGCTAGAGCAGGACAGCTCCAGGCTCCTCCACCAGCCTGAAGGTTCACTCCAGGACAACCAGGCATTCTCCAAACATCCACCAGAGGCAGCCCTGGTACCAACAGAGACCCTTGAGGTGCGCAGACACGCAACCAGGAGCCGCAGGTACAGAAGCACCCAGGCCCTTGGACTGTGAATGCGAGGAGAGCAGACTGCTGCAGAGAAAAAAATCTGCTGACATCATCTGTGACCCTAAATCAAAGACATTCTGGCCAACATTACACCAAAGTAAAAGGCACCACTGGTTTTCATGTAAAATCTACACATCTCAATACCATTCCGAGGCGGGGCTCCCCTCCGAGGCTGGAACAGGAAGACGTGAAGGGGATTCCAGTCAGGAGGGACTCTCTCCTTTTCTGTCCTGCTTCTCATGTTCTCAACTCCCCAGCCCCCATCAAGGTCTTTCCCCCATGGAGAGGGCCTCTCTGATCAGACCCTCAGCCATGTGAGCACTGAGGACAACTGAGATCTCACAACATCACACTGCTATCCACAGCACTGTAGGCTCTCGATTCAGAAGGGTGGCCATCGGCTCACAAGGAACACCTACTCCCTAAGCACACACACGCCAGGGCCACCTACAGTCAAGAAAGCTCACAGCCTACAGGCAGAGATGTGTTCGACTCGCCCAGAAGAGGGTCTCCCTCCTCGCCCGCCCTCCCCTGCCGAGAACATGCCTCACAGAAATGTTAAACCTGGCTCTGGTTCCGTTTAACCCTCACCTGCCTTTTCAAAGTGGAGCTCACTGCTCACATCCAGGGTTAGGAAGGTTCCACTGGATTGCAGCTAAGCCACTCAGCGGAACACCAGAGCCTGGATCCCAGGCCCAGCGACATCCTGGGTGTAGCTGGGCAAACCCGGGTGTGGCCAAAAGGCCTGGCGTATGTGCACATCTCAAGACAAATCAAGTAAGAGAGACCAACGACAACTATCAAAATGAGACAGTAAAACCCATTGCCTGCACTCACGTCAGCACATTCACGGTAAGAGCTGCTAGGGAGGAAGGAGGGCACCTGGGCTGCCTTCAGGGGTGCAGACAAGCCACTGCAGTCTCCCCTGGGACGTGGCCATGAGGGAGCCCTGCACACCCTGCCTCACACAGTGTGCGACTTCCTTCAGACACCGCTGCCTCCTCTGCACAGGGCAGAGCTGCCACCTGGAGCACTCACTCACTGCAATGGCGCTGGCAGAGGAGCGGCTGCCCCCAGCGCCACAGGAAGGCCCCTAATCTGGTGTAGCACAAACACCAGTTCCTAAATAAACATGCACACACACTATCTCCAGAAATCACGTAGCTTTGCTAATCTAACCTACCAACAAAATCTCTGGCACTAGGATGACCTTCGTGACCTCTTCACAAGCGAGTGTCAGCCTGAGAGGGGAGCCAGTCACTGCCTTCAGGCCCCAGGTCCACTCTATGCCCACGGGACGAGTTCAAACGCATGGGGTCTGAAAAGCCAACCCCACTAAATTACTCAGGCACCAAGGGATGATGATCACTGGAGAGAAAGCACGCACTTATCATTCACTCCAAAACCAGTTTACCATGAAATTCAAGCTGCCAAGCACCACGAGCAGGGATCAGACAAAAATGCAGCAGACGGTCCAGACTAGGGAGGACACCTGGAGAGAAAGCATCAGGGCTCAGGAGAGGGGTCCTAACCACAAGAGGACCCCAAGTCAGGGCTCATGGCATGCCTAGTGTCCTCGGCTTGAGGGGTGCGACACATGATCAACCAGGGCACGCAAGCAGACATGGGGTCAGGCCGAGGGGACCCTGCCAAGGAACGCCTGGGCTCAGACATAAGCACATTCAACAAAGAAACCACCGAGGCCCTGGTCTGTCTGCATATAGACATATGCCACCTCTGAAGCTCATCTTCACAAAGGCCACTAGGGAGGTATAAGTGGCATTATTCACATCTCTGGGCCAGCACCGTGAGGAGGAAACAAGGCTCTTCAGGCTTCCTTTCATCTGGACAAGCAGAAAGTGCACAGTCCTTCAAAAGAAGTTTTCATTTATACACAAATATTCTCACCATGTCATATACAAAAGGGAAATTTGCTCTAATCCAACTCACTACTGAAAACCTCTAAAAACTGTCTGAAGTGGGTCCTTAAACAAATACAGAGCAGCTGGAGGCAGTACTGAAAAAGAGGTGAGTGACCACATTTTCTAAAACAAAAGTCAAAATAGAGAGGATCTAGGAGCTGATTCTGGACCCAAGACTGGATTCTGGAGTCTGAAAGAGTCTAGAAGACAGAACACAGGCATCTGCTGAGGCCAGCCAACTGGATAAGAAGAGTTTCTGGGGGTCCCAGGTGAAGGGGAGGGGAAGGCCTCAGGCTTGGTGCCACTGCTAGGCTCTTGGCACACACTTTTATATTTAACAGAAAATTCTCCCCAACAGGCAAATGCTCTGCTAGTCCCAAACCTCGGGGACTGGGCACCCCAGAGCTCATGCAGGGCACTGCCATCAGGAAGGGCCCCACCGTGGCGCTGGCGCTGGCCGGGGCAGGCTCAGGGCCCCCATTGATGTCGGCGCTCCTCTCCCGCTTGGCTTCCTCCAGGTCTGTCACCGTGCTCGGGCCCTTCTTCTTCTTGAGCTTGGCCAGGATGGAGGACTCGCGCTCTGGAAACGGGGGCATCTCCTCCAGGACAGTTGCCTGGTGGGAAAGCAGCCCAGGGTCAGCACAGCTCTAAGCCTGCAGCTTTTGGCCCCCAGACAAGAAACACTGCTGTGAGGGGTGGGCACAGCAGCCTGTGGCCTACCAGGATGTCAGTGCTGGCAACGGTGCTGAGCCGCAGGTACTCCACGGCCCGCTGCTGCAGCTCCACATCGGCGTTCTTCAGCTGGCTGTCGCTGCGCAGTACATCCTGAATGGTGGTCTTCACCTCAGGAAAGAGGTTCACAAACTTGATGTAGGTGGATAAGAGGAGTGCCCTGGTGGGGACACTGCACAGGTGGAACTTGGAGTGCAGCAGGTTGAACTGGATGAGAGGACTGTGACGGGTAAGGAGAGCAGAGACAGGGTGTGAGCAAAACATTACCTCCTCATTTCACAAGCGCCACACACTCGGCCCCGTCCCTGCATCCTCTGAGCCTTGGCCCCCCCAAGTGTCTCAGCAGGAGGGGGAAGGTGAGCAAGGAGTGACTCAGGGAAATCAACCCCACACTAAACCAGAAGCACTCTCATAAAGGGGAAGGATGTCCAGTGAGGCATGCATTTCCAACTCCAGACCCAGCACAAATCTCCTCTTTGAATAATGTTAGCCATCGACCAATCTCTTTCTTTTCAACTTGAATCCCTGTTTTCTGTACAGCATGGAGGAAAATAAAAAGATGTCAATCCAGAGTGGAAGTGGTCTTGCTCTGGACTGCTCTGATGGCACATGAGGACATTTGCCAACCTCTCCTCAGACTGTCAGGATAAGAACCAGGAGGCGCAAGCCCAGCATCAGAACGCACTGCTCACCTGACTCCAAAGGGTCTCTTACCTGGATCTCGGGTCCCCAGCTATCAAGTTTCCAAACTCCCCCAGGATGTAGCCGCCCACTTTGACCAGGTTCTCATGGCACGCCGGGGCCTGAAGAGCCTGTGAAACAGCGAGCGTGCTGAGCCAGATGCACAAGGGCTCAAGGCCGAGGTCAGCACAGCTCCAGGCAGACGAAGTTGGGAGGCATCTGACTTCAAGGAAAGTAGCTAAGTTGTGGTGATGTGCCAGAAGTAAAGAGAACTCAGATCACTTTCCTGTGGAGCCTATTTTCATGCTAGTGCAAGCTTCCCCAAAGCTTCCTAGAGACCCTCCTGATCTTAGCGCCTGTCCCTTTCTTCCCTCCCAGCTACTTCACCAGATGTGTCAGTAGCAGGGGAGCCCCAGAGGCAGAGGCGTGGCCAATGCAGCCCTGGAATGAAAGCTGCACACCTAAAAGCTGACATTTAGGCCCCAGGTGGGGCAGGTGCACATTGGCATCCTCCTGGGGTCACTTGCCCCCCTGCTGATGCCGTGGCAGACCTCAGGTGTGTTCTCGTGCACATGGAGGCAAGCTCAAGGCACGACCCTGGGCAGTTTGCTCAGGTAGCCTCTTGAGAGCGGAGAGTATCTTACCCGTGGTGAGTGCTGTGGAAATCAGAGTGGGAAGGAACAAAGACTCAAGCAGAGGTACTAGCAGTACTAGCAGTACTATCAAAATAAGATGTTAAAACCCATTGCCTCCAAGAAGAGCCGACAGGAGAAAGAAGGGCAGTCAGCAACAACCACCGGAAGCCTGCATCTTCACTCAGAGGGAGACGAGCTGGACCGTACCTCGAACACCGTCTTGGCGGCATAGCCCTGCACGTCGTCCCGGTTGATGACAATCTGAATGACGCGGTACCACACCTCTTCGCTCACGTAGTCACCGGCAATCCGGATCAGGTTCAGGATGGTGTCCACGTACCACGTGTAGTCCACAGCGTACTTCTCCGCCAAGATGGCGACCTTCAGCACCTGCAGAGGACAGCCACTCAGGGCAGGTGCCTGCAGGCCCTGCAACAGCAGGGGCAAGCTGCTGCCCAGCATCAACGCCAAGGCTTCAAAAGGACCAAATGCATGCACCAAAGCTCGGGTGTGTGGGAAGCTTCCACCAGATTTTCAAAGGAGACCAGAAAGTTCAAGATTTGCAGATTTAACTGAGGAAAGCCAAACCGCCCTCCAGGAATAGACACAAAAGGACACAGTCCAGGAAAACACAGGAGAGATGGGGCACAGCTGAAGAAGGCATGAGGAGCCTTGGCACCCGCAGTCCCAACTACAGCTGAGACAGCCCAGGTGCAGCTCCTCCCTGCCCGTGGAGCAGCATCACTCTCTGGGTCTCCTGCTCTGGCTGGCCTGTCTCAGCAGTCTCCCCTCTACTCTCCATGAAGAGACCCCTCGCGCTCACTTACCCTCCATGTACCCCAGAGGGCTCTGCGGCCACATTCACTGCCAAGCACCAACTGCACAGGGCTGTCCAAAACCAGACCCCTCAACTTCCTGGAGACACCTTTTTCTATTTCTGCCCCAAATAGCATCAGCTGCCCCCCCATTGTGTGGGCACTGCCACTGTCACAACACACCTTCCACTCCTTTACCCTCCCAACTGTGCCCCAGAGCCCCTGCTGGAGCCCAGACCACCATCCATCTGCTCTGCCCACCCTCTGGCCTTCAAATCAACTCTCCATAATGACCACAGAACGTCATTCACTGCCCTGGGCTTAAAATCCTTCGAGCTCAGAGCTCTACAGCTGTGCGCTCAGGCCCCTCACAACTACACTGGCTAGCCTCCCCACTGCCTCTGCCCTCGCTGTGCATACCCTGCTTCCACCTTGCTGAGCCACCCCGCTTTTGCTCCCCAGTAACCTCTGTGCCTTCATCCTCTCCTAACAAGTTCACTGCCACCTCCTACAGAAGTCACTCCAGTGCCCGGTGACATAGATGCCTCCCCGAGGCCCCCCAGGATCCAGGGCCCTGCCTCTATCCACCCTCACCCACACGACAAGCAGGTCTGCTGTCCTCCTCATGGACAGAAAGGCTCCCTGTGGGCAGGGCATGCAGCATGCCCAAGTGTGGATGCCCAGCAGCCAGCACAACTGCAGGACACCTGCTGACACGCATGGCTGGACAGATGGCTGGACAGAACACTTACCCTGGGACTAAGAGTGTCTGTTTTATTCTTCATATGATTAAAACTGACTGAGGATTGTCACTTGTCATTTAAAAGGGAATAAGAGCCAACATGGAGCTAACACTCAAGACCTTAAAAACCTATACAATTACTCTGAGGAACACACCCCTTCTGTCTCTGCTCAGGACACCCAGAGCAGCAATGAGGAAGGACATTCTCAGAGTCAGCCCACTGCCTACAGCATCCGGACCAGGCCCCACTGCCTGACCACAGTCCAAACATGACCCCCAGCCCATCTCACATTGAACTCACCTCTCCTCAGCACCTGCTCTTGGAGTTTCCTGCCCAGAGACAACTGGCCCTGCCCCATTCTCCCCTACACCCTGTCTCCCCAACTCCCCGTCTCCCCCACATGCTCTCACCCTCCCCTACTCCTCCTATCTCACCCACATGTCCTCACCATCCTAGCCTCCCCAGCCCTCTTTCCTGGCTGGTCAACAGTTCAGCTCAAGACTCACTTCCTCTAAGAAGCCTTCCTTGACTTCTGCACTAGGGCAGCCTGGCACTTCCACTAAAACACAGCCATGTGGTAATTAAGCACATGCCGCTCAGCACTGAAGGGCCAGTATTGGCCCCCAGCCTGGCCACAGTGGCCACAGCCATTCAAGAAATGATCTCCAATAAACCTGAGAGTCTGACCACGTGCACAGCCATACATGCTCAGAAGCTCCTGGCCTTTCGTTCTCAAACCAAACACTAGCCCAGGGGCAATCTTAAAAGTCACTCATGGCTAGCTCCCACACTGGACACTCGCCCTACAAAATGTCCAAGGAGCTGCACTTTGCTCCCCAGAAAGACAAATAAGAAACAGTTACAAAATAAGCGTTATAAGCTTATAAATAACAACACAAGCTCACGCTGAGCTCAAGGCACCTTGGAGAAAGCAGCACCAGACCTGCGTGCGTTACACACACAGCTCAGGCCCTCCTCCCTGCTGTCCGCGGGCTACCAGGAACTCCGCGCCCTAAGACTTTGTATTATGATCAGTGTCTCACACAGTAAAAAAGCATTTGCTCAGCTTTGACAAATTGTTAGGTATGTGCACACATTTTGCAGATGACAAAATAATATGATAAACTAAGACTACCATACTGTAAACGGTGGCTCAGACTCTTTCCTTCCAAGACACAACAGAGAGAGATAAGGAAATCATGCCAACCAAAGAAGTATGAATTCAAAGCTTCAAAATGACACAGACTTTTGCCCACAGGAATCTGAATTCACACTCGCCTCAGTCGCAGACCACTGAAGGCTCATTTGGAGACTGAGCTACAAAAGTATTTCACTGAAAGGCTCGACAGTGCCAGGAAAGCTTGCTAGCAGGGGGACTGTTTAGTTATTTTGAAAGCCTGAAAGGCTCTACCGAAAACACTGATTAAAAAGCTAAAGCAAAGGAATCTTTTCCAGCATCCAGCAGATTCTCAATTAAGTCTGTGGACAGAATCACAAACACCAAGGAAACGCTTCGGCTGAGATTCACAAGCATCCGCGGACAGTGACAGCACAAAGGCCATGAGAACTCACAATCTCCTCTCGAATGGAGTAGTCGGCTGTCTCCAAGTAGCTCAGCATCTCGGCCACAATCTGCTGGGCATTGCTGCGGTCGCACATGGCGTAGAGGAGGTCCACGGCCCGCTGCCGCACACTCACGTCCCGCTCCGTCTGGGGGAACGAGGCACAGAGAAGCTGTGAGCAAAGCCTGGGCAGGCTGGACGGTGGCTGTCCACTGCGATACACGCACTGCCCAGGCCCAAGGTCAGCTGGCTTTCCCACAGTCCCCACCCAGCCAGCTCAGTATCCCTCTCTGTCTCAACACTCACTCTGAGCTCTCCTCACACACCATCTGAATCCAGGGAACCCAACAGAGAGTCTAGTCACACAGAGCCCCTCACATGCCAACTCGCTGCTCCCCCTCGCTCTCGCACTTGGGCCAGGCAGCTCCGACCTGCTGGCTGAACTCTGAGGTGGAGCGCCTGCCATCCCTGGGGATGGGTCAGAGGCCTCTCTTGTGCTGGTCACAGGCCAGCACCTAGCATGCCGCTTGGGAGCTTGTCACAGTGCCAGCTCTTGGGCTCCCCCAGACCTGATCCTCGGCTTCTGTGTCAGAACAAGACCCCAGCGGCCCCTCAGCATAGGACAGCCTGAAAAGGGCTGGTGAATGACCGAGCAATGTGCAAAAGCAAAGGCAAGTCCTTCTGAACAGGCAGTGACTGGAACAGACACCAAAACCAGGACCAGGAAGAATTCAGAATACCAAAAAGCTAAATCCAAACCCTCGCGTGGCCTCTCGCACAAAAGACGCACCTGAAATGTGTTAAGTTACATGAAAACACTTAAGTTACGTTGTTATGTAAGTTACAAATGAAGGGACAATCAGACCTGTTCTTAACGACAAGCCCGGGACCAGAACAATGGGTTTTGTAGCTTCCCCGCTAGCCTTCAGTTTTCTAACACACTTGTGCAAACAACTACAACATAGCGGACGCTGTGAAATCCAACCATGATGAATGTGCCTCAGAGCCTGTTCTGGAGGCTCGTGACGGCACACGACAGGGAAAGATCACCTCGACATCGCTCTTCTAACTCTGGAATTTTAATCCCTTGAAAAAAGCAAATTTTCTTTGGCAAAGCGTAAGCTTTCTTGGAGACAAGGACAAACTATTTCATCTTTCTGCCAAAAGGAACTGTTTCTATTAATTCAAATATTTGTTACGACTCTATGTGCAAGACACAGTGTTAGATTCTATATTAGATTACTACTCGTTATGATGGCCATCTCACAGACGGAATTGCCCAGAACACAGTGCGTCTGGCCGAGCAGGGAGCGTCGTGGACTTGGAGCAGCAGCATGGCCACGCCCACTCCAGGGCCCAAGCCAAGCAGCCTTGAGCAACCCTGGGCCCGCATCAACGGCTCTCTCACCCAGCTGCTGTGCCCACCACAAGCAAGCAACACAGGTGACAGAAATGCCAGCACTTGACAAATGGCAGCACTCCCCGTGGTGATGAAGGACCCCCACAGGCGGAGCACTTGCCTTCAGAGCATTGGTGACTGTCTCGATGTGCGTCTTCACCGCCTCGTGGGAGAACTCAGAGCTGGCCAGAGTGCACATGCTCTCCAGGGCCAGGTAGCGCAGGTTGGTCTCCCGGTGCTGCAGGAACTGGCCCAGCTGGTTACAAGCACGGACGAGCAGGTTTGGCTCACTGCACGGATGAAAAAAGTGGCTTGGGAGGGAGTTCCTCTGCATGCGCCTTACAGAGCCAAGTGCAAGTCAGCTGGGCAGATGGCAATGCCACGCCATGTTCATAGTCATCACACTGCTGAAGTGAAGACTTCAGGGGCCTCCCAAGACATAAAAACCTTAAACTTCAACCCTGAAGTCAGTGTTACATTCACTCTGGTCGTTACCACAGTGAAAATCAACACCTCACATACCCATTGGAGGTTTTCTGAGCATATCTGCAGAATTCCACCAACTCCTAAGAGCTGATGACGACACAGGCACTTCACAAACCAGGCAACTCCTGAGCCTCTGCACAAGCTCTCAGAGGTCACGTAGTGGCCAGAAATGTGATCTCAGCCAGAGGCAATCAGCCTTGGGAAATGGCTAAACAAGAGCCCAAAGGATGAGAAGACTCTTGAGAAATACACGTATAGACATAGATATAAAAAAGATTAGTGACTATTTAAGCCCTAATTACCAGGAAATGTAGGTTAAATCTCTTGCTCTTTACCTTGACCCTAGGATGATGTTGTTCTTTAAACATGCTTAATAAAGATAAGAAGCCTTCCTCTAATCTCGGAAATGTTGTTTCTCACAGTTCCCAAACCTGCTGCACTGTACTCCAAGGCTGTTTTGTCATGGGAAACCACACTGTCCAAACGCAGAGAGGTAGAAGACGGCTGAGAGAACACCTGCCCCAGCCCGCCTGCTCCCTGCAGCACCTCGCAGTGCACGGCAGCCTGCTGCTGGTGGGATTCTGGTGGCATCTCCCACAGCCCTGCCTGTGAGCCACAGTGTCACTCTAATAGGAATTTAAAACATGGCACCACATGCAAGGCCACATACAGGAAGTCCAACTGCAGGAGCTGAGCGGAGAAGGCAAGGAAGCAGACTCCTGCTGTCCCAGGACACCGGTGCCCTGTGGCTCTATGTTATACTGACACACATGGTCATCTCTACCACTTCCCCTAGTGACCTCGGACCAACACTGAGTGCTGCTTTGTGCCACAGGAAAGCTCACAGGGCGCACACCCCCATCCTTCTTGTACAACCTTGTGGGAAGCTGGTCAGGAGCAGGATGCTCTGGAGAAAGAGGGGAGGCCCTTGGGGGAGGTGAGACCACAGCCGGCAAAGCCAACACCATGGGAGTTGTGAAGCCAGAGAGAGAGCATGAAGCACTGGAGAGGAGCAAAGGGGTCACACAGGGAGCACGCACCTGTGTGAGGAGAAGGGTGGAGGAAACGCGTCAGGGCTCGCGGGATGGACACAGTCAAGATCCCCCGCCAGGCCTGACGTCAGCAAGAAGAGTACAAGTATATGTTTAAGAGGATCACACCGTCAAACTTGCTTTAGGAAAAGGAAGGCCAACAGAAGAAGAACACCACCGAGCAGTGACTCACCTGTCGTGATGAATGATGAGGCTGATCGCCTCAAACAGCACAGCGTTCTTGGCGTTGGAATGTTGGACTTTTTTGGACTTTGGTGGTTCTTGGGCTTTGTTCAGAATCGTCTCCAGGCACTCGGTCAGGCGGCCTCGCACAGCAGGGTCTTCTGGGCAAGACAGAAAGCTGTTGGCCGGGCTCCCCCACAGCCCACCCTGTCCTCCCGGCTGCAGGGCCTTGAGGACATCACGCCACGCGGCCTGACTGTGACAGTCATCTCACAATCAGGCGCCGAACAGTTGGTGCGCATCCCTATTCACACGGTACGGCTTTTTAAAATACAGGATTTAATAGCCAGGGTAACTACATGTACATTATACAAATAACATACATTTTTGAGATTTAGACTGTAAATCCCACACATTTACTGAGACATAGACTGTATAAGTCAAAAGAAAATAAAAATCTCAGAGACATGGACAACATACGTGATCTAAAAATTTGAGGGAAAAGGGGGCAAAATATTTTTTTTCACCTGCTATTACCAATAGAAATAAAGAAAATGTTATAAAAAGCAATAAAAGGAGAAGGAAAGTTTTAAAGTTCCACTCAAATCAGAAGAAAAGAAACAACAGACCAAAAAGGAATAAGAAAAAATAAAAACACCAGAACATCATGGCCAACAGGCACATGAAAAGATGTTCAACACCACTATCAGGGAAACGCAAATCAACACTACAATGAGATATCACCTCACACCCATCAGAATGGCTGTAATTAACAAGACAAGAAATAACACGTGTTGGAGAGGATCTGGAGAAAGGGAACCCTCATACACTGCCCAAGGGAATGCAAACTGGTGCAGCCACTGTGGAAAACAGTGGAGAGTCTTCAAAAAATTAAAAATAGAAATATCATATGATCCAGCTATTCCATACTGGGTATTTACCCAAAGAACTTGAAATCAACAATTCAAAGAGACTTTTGCACCCCTATGTTCATTGCAGCGTTATTCACAATAGCCAAGATGTGGAAGCAAGCCAAGTGCCCATCGACTGATGATTGGATAAAGAAGATTTGGTGTATATATATACAATGGGATACTACTCTGCCATAAAAAAAGACAAAATTGTGCCATTTGTAACAACATGGACGGACCTTGAGGGCATTAAGCTAAGCAAAATAAGCCAGACAAAGAAAGACAAACATGGTATGATTTCACTCATATGTGCAAGATAGACAAATACACAGATAAGGAGAACAGATTAGTGGTTACCAGAGGGGAAGGGGGTGGGGGAAGAGTGAAAGGAGTAAAGGGGCTGGATGGAAACTAGACTATTGGTGGTAAACACGACAGCCTATACAGAAACTGATATATAATAATGTACACCTGAAATTTACACAATGTTATAAGCCAATATGACCTCAATAAAATAATTTTTAAAAAAAGAAAAAACTTGTGCAAAACCTGTCTGTCAAAACCACCAACACAGGGGGCTGGCCCCGTGGCTGAGTGGTTAAGTTCTCACGCTCCACTTTGGCGGCCCAGGGTTTCACTGGTTCGGATCTTGGGCACAGCCATGGCACCATTCATCAAGCCATGCTAAGGCGGCATCCCACATACCACAACTAGAATGACCCACAACTAAAAATACACAACTATGTACCAGGGGGCTTTGGGGAGAAAAAGGAAAAATAAAATCTTAAAGGAAAAAAAAACCACCAACACAGCCAGAGCATTGCAAAACTAGCCATTCAAGAGAGAGATGGCATCCTATGAGCCACATGCAGGTGAGACGCAGAGCAGGGCCCCCAGGAAGCCACCCCAGAAGGTTTGAGCAGAGAAGCACAAGAGTGAGAGGGGTGCATGTTTCAGAAACAGCCGAGAAAGAATCAGAAACTCAAGCCTGAAATGGGCAAGTGGGGAGGGGTCTGGGTGTGAGTCCGTGCTGCCCCAGATCTCAGAAGGAAGAAGACAGCTGCAGCGGAGAAGAAGGACGGGCTGCCCTGGGCTGGCCAGGCAGGGAGGGATGAGGCAGCGGCTGGGCCCCGGGGGAAGCTGGGCGGCTGGGAGGGAAGCCCCTCCCACATGCAGACTCTGCTGCAGGGTCTGCGAGTCATACTTCAGTATAAAAGGCATTTAGCATAGAAAGTTACTTGAATTTAACAAAGAAATATCCTGTAGAAAAACAGATTAAAATATAAAGGTTACAACAACAAACCAATCTTTGTGGAGGGCAATTTGGAAGCATCTGACAAAAATTTTTATGTATGTTCTTCAACCAAGAAATTCTCTTTCTAGATGCTTACCATACTAGTCAAATGTAACATTTTAGAATAAAACATAAACATAAGATATTTTTGATGTGTATATTAAGGTTACACAGAGTAACAATTTAGGATACAAAGTTTCTAATGGTTTCAAGTTTTATTTTAAAAGATTGTTTCAAAAACTTGCACAGATCTGATACTATATAAAAGCAGAGATAATCCCAAATCATAACAGAATTGTGAGTTCTCTACTGGCTGCTCTGGGAAAGCCAAGATGCAGGCCCTTCACAGAAGGATCACAGAGCAGGAACCAGCGCCAGTAAAGGACTTCCACGGACGACAAACAGAAGCTCTGCGAGGCGGAAGCAGCCCCTGGGAGGCCCGCTGCGCGGCTGTTACCTGGGGGTGGGTAGCACTGGAGCAACCTCAGAAGTTTCACCGACAGCCAGGGAGCCGGGACAAAATAGTAAGTATAATCCTGAAGATCGGTGGATGCAGACGTAACAATCTGTAAAAACACAGGCTGATGAGACACACTGCAGGCAAGCAGGCGAGCGTCACCACGAGAGGCACCCCCCAGGGTGGAGGACACGCAGAAAGCCACACTCAGTCCTCAGGTCACGCAGTAACTGAATAAAAGGGTTTCATTCCATGTGCTGAGAATACTGAATACACTTCTCTATATTTTCGAGGTTAGGGGGCACAGCGCCGCCAGGCTCACACTGAGAGCGGCTGCCCGTCATCATTTTCAGGAACAGACCCAAGTGCTGCTGCTGTACAATGGCCATCCCACTCGGCAGGACACAAATTGGCCAAGGACACTGACCTCTCAGTACAGAATCCTATGGCACGTGGACCGAAAATTCAGATTTCCTTTGTGGACCAGAAAGATTTGAATGAAACACAAAAGGGAGAGCTTTGGTCCCTTGAAAAGGGAGAGGCTGACTTTCTGACCCCAGCCCTGCCCCCCAAAATCCCCAGGTGTGGACCCCCCGCATGAGCGCGCTGAGGCCAGAAAGCACACTTCCTTCACTCCCAGTTCCATCTCCTTGTCCAGAAGGACCCCTGGCAGGGCAGACACTCCATCAACCCTCTGAATCCATGGCTGTCCCTAAAACATTACATTCCCACTCTCACACAGCCCAGTGCCTTCTCCATCTCCTGTGTCAGAGAGGGGAGACTAGCTCCTCCCTACAAAGCTCACAGGAGTGAGGTGACCCTTTAGGCCAGAAGTGAGCATGTTCAGGAAGGGTCACCCTGACTGCTGCCCTCAGCTGCAAGATACCAGCCCAGACTCGGGATGCGGCCCTTCCTGCAGTGAGGCAAGCTCCAAGCTGTGTCAGGCACTGACGGGACAAGCAGAGCAGTTAGGTGGAACGCAGACACACGGGGGAGGAGGACAGGGACCACACCACTCCACATAATACAAAGATGGCCAACATAGGCTGCCTTTACAAGAAGTTACATGCAGCTAAAGCCATGCTGAGAGAGAAATTCACAGTTTTAAATGTACACATTTGAAATAATTATGAAAATAAAAGCAATGAAGAATTCATCTCAAGGGTTTAGAAAGAGACTAGCAAATTAACCCAAAGAAAGTAAAGGAAAGAAAACAATGACAATACAGCAGAAAGTAAATAAGGTAGGAAAAATCGCAATCAAGAGGGCCAACAAAGTCTAAAGAAATCATCGCACACCCAATGAGATACATCAAGGAGAACAAAAAGGTGCAAACACTCAGCATCCAAACTGTGAAGGATCCCACACACAGTGACTGTCAGTACAGGTCAATCTTTAGATAAATTAGCAAATGTCAAGAAAATGCAACTTACCAAAACTGACAAAAGAAGAAACAGAAAATATTAAGTCCCTTAACTTATTATTAAATAAATTGAATCCATAATTAGAACTCATCCCACGAAGAAAACTCTAAGTTCAAATGGTCTCACCAGTTAATTATGATAAAATTGTTAGCAAAGCTATAGAAAGGAATTTCCTTAATGTGATAAAGAGAACCAGCAGCAACAAAACCAGCAAACCTCATACTCAATGGAAGATATTAAAGACTATCCTCCTGAGACTAAAAGCAAGCCACCAATCATCTCTCATATTCAACACTGCAGGGGAGGGTCAAATTATAGCGATAAAGCAGGAAACACAAACAAACACAGATTGGAAAAGAAAAAAACTGTCATTGTCTGTAGACAAATGATGGAATATAAAGAAGATCCAAAGCAATCAAGTGCATAGAAAGGACTGAAGTTCATAAGTGAGTCTGGCAAAGTTGCCAACTCCAAGATCAATATACAAAAGTCAACTGCATAAACCAACACACAGTAGTTAAAAATAAAGTTCTTAAGGTATTGTTGAGAATGCATTTTCAAAATAAAATAAATAGACATAAATCTAACAAAAGATAAAGGAACGTCTCCTCAAAAAGTTATAACACATTATGTGGAACAACAAAAGACTCCAAACAGCCAAAGCAATCCTGAGAGAAAAAGAAGCAAGCTGGCGGTATCACACTCCCTGACTTCCAAACACACTGCAAAGCGAGAGGACTCAAAGCAGCGTGGTGCTGCACCAGGACAGGCACACAGATCAGTAGAACAGGATTGAGAGCCCAGAAATAAAACCGCACATCTATGGACAGCTAATCTTTGACAAAGGAGCTAAGAACATACAATGGAGAAAGGAAAGTCTCTTCAATAAATGGTGATGGGAAAACTGGACAGCCACAGGCAAAAGAATGAAAGTAGACCATTATCTTACACATACACAAAAATTAACTCAAAATGGATTAAAGACTTGAATGTAAGACCTGAAACCATAAAACTTCTAGAAGAAAACGTTGGCAGTATGCTCTTTGACATTGGTCTTGGCAGTATCTTTTTGAATACCACGTCTCCTCGGCCAAGGGAAACAAACAAACAAAAGAAACAAATGGGACTACATCAGACTAAAAAGCTTCTGCACAGCAAAGGGAACCATCAACAAAACAAAAAGACAACCCACCAACTGGGAGAAAAATATTTGCAAATCATACATCCAACAAGAGGTTAATTTCCAAAATATATAAAGAATTCATACAACTCAACAACAAAAAAGTGAACAACCCAATCAAAAAATGGGCAGAGAATATGAACAGACATTTTTCCAAAGAAGACATACAAACGGCCAACAGACATATGAAAAGATGTTCAACATCACTAATTACTAGGGAAGTGAAAATCAAAACTACAATGAGATGCCACCTCACACCCATCAAAGTAGCTATAATTAATAAGACAAGAAATGACAAGTGTTGGAGAGGATGTGGAGAAAAGGGAATCCTCATACACTGCTGGTGGGAACGCAAACTGATATAGCCATTATGGAAAACAGTAAGGGAATTTCGCAAAACATCAAGAATAGAACTACCATAGAATCCAGCTATTCCAGTACTGGGTATTTATCCCAAGAACACGAAATCACTAATTAAAAAAAGATTTATGCACCCCTACGTTCATCGCAGCCTTATTCACAATAGCCAAGATGTGGAAACAACCCGAGTGCCTGTCAACAGATGAACAGAAAAAGAACATATGGCATATACACACAATGGAATACTACTAGGTCATAAAAAGGACAAAATCGTGCCATTTACAGCAACATGGATGGACCTTAAGGGTATTATGCTAAGCCAAATAAATCAGATGAAGAAAGACAAATACTGTATGTCTCACTCATATGCGGAAGGTAAACAAACAAACAAACACAGATAAGGAGAACAGACTGGTGGTCACCAGAGGGGAAGGGGGTGGAGGGGAGGGCAAAAGGGGTAAAGGGGCACATGCGTACGGTGATAGATAAAAACTAGACTATTTGTAGTGAATATGATGCAGTCTACACAGAAGGTGAAATATAATAATGTACACCTGAAATTTACACAATGTTATAAACCAATATGACCTCAATGAAATAAAATAAAATAAAAAGTTATAACACATAATTGAGGGAAGTTAAGGACTATCTGAATAAATGGAGAGAGAAGCCATGGTCATAGATTTAGACTCAATACTTCAAAGATTTTAACTCTCTCAAAACTGACCTACAGATTAAAGGCAGTCCCAGTAGGATTTTGGGGGTGGAAGAAGAAGATAAGAGGACTTGCTCCTCTAGACATTAAGAATTACCCTCAAGCTCCAGTAACTAGGACAGCATGTCACTGGTGCAAAGACGAACAGAAAAAGTGATGGAGTGAGGCACAGACACAACCCACTGGTTTATGACCAAGGTGGCACTGCAGAGTTGGCAGGAGGGACCTTTTTAGCAGTGGTACTGGGACAACTGGATGTCATTCAAGAAAAAGTATCACCACACACAGAAACCCAGCCCCCAGGTGGGTTGTCAATCTAATGTGAGCACTCAGAACAGGGACAGACTTCATAAATAGGACAGAGAAAGCACTAACCATAAAAGAGAGGATGAGTAAATCTGACTACATTAAAATGTAGAACTCTGATCACAGAAGACTTCATTAGGAGAGTCAAATGGCAAGGTAGAGAGTAGGACAAGATTTTTAAACAGAGTAGGTTGAACCATACAAAGCCACCATTTTTGAAGACCAATAATGGTTAAATGTTGGCAATTTTGTTTGGTTCAACATAATATAACCAACAAAGGGCCCATATCTAAAACATATAAAGAACTTCTATAAAACAACAAAAAAGACAACTCCACAGAAAAATGGGCAAAAGACTTAACAGGTACTTCACAAAAGAAGATATTCAAAAAGCCAATAAATACACAAACTGCTCAACCTCCTTGATAATCAGGAAAATGCACATTCAAATCACAACGAGATACTACCCTGCACCCAGAATGGTTAAAATCTCAAGGGCCAAGATGCAGAGTGGCAGAACCATCCACACTGCTGGGGACGGGGTGGGGGGGGCCAGCTGGCACAGCCACTTGGGGAGCTGCTCTGGCACTGTCTCCTCAAGGTGAAGAGCTGCTACCCCATGCCCCAGCAACACCACTTCTGGGGTACACCCGCCAGCACCTCATGTACATGTAGCCAAGAGACATCCACAACGTAGACAGCAGGATATTCATGACAGCCTCAGAGGAGGAACAAGCTAAGTGCTCGCCCAGAGACGAAGGATAAATACGTTGTGGTCTATTCATACGAATTCTACACAAACAAAGGAAGAACACACAAAACAAATGCGATTAATTTCACAATGTTGAGCAAAACAAGTCAAATACAAAAGAATATGTGCTGTATGATCCATTCACATAAAATTCAAAACAGTCAAAGCTACACGACAGGTTCAGGATGCAGGCTGAGGCGGTGAAGGAAAGGAACGCAGGAGTGAAGGCAGGCCAGGAGTGAAGGCCCCGCGGGGAGGAAACGGGCTCCCTGGGGCTCCCTGCAGTGGGAGGGCGAGGGTGGGCGGGAAGGGAGGGCCCCAGGGCACCCGCCCACAGCCGGCAGGGTGACACAGCAGGGTGACGGAGCAGGGGTGATGGAGCAGGGGTGACGGAGCAGGGGTGACGGAGCAGGGCAATGTAGTAGTGCGCAGGCTCCAGAACACGAGCAGGGAGCTGCACTCTGTGCATTTCCTCACAGGGACAGGACATTCCTCAACTGACAAAAACGCTGAGAGAAAAGCCAACCAATTACTAACCAAGACAAGTTTTCACTCTTGAATTTACAAACTGGGCCAAATATCTTGCATTCTAAAAAGTATACTAATATATTAATTACATAAAATAACTAAGACCAATACCCACCCTGAGTTCCTGTCCCCATCACAGACTTACTCTGCTTAATCTGGAGACGGCCAGAGAGACAGAGGTTTTAAACTCTTCTGGGTTCTTTTGTGCTAAGGTGGTGATGAGACTTGTGGCCGCAGTTACCACTCCCTGCAAGAAAACACATGACAACAGACATTTCCACTCCAGTCACATACCTGAAGCTGACCTCTTGTTTTCTTTTTCTTTTTTTTTTCCTTCTTTTCCCCAAAGCACCCCAGTACATGGTTGTACGTATTTTTTTAGTTGTGGGTCCTACTAGTTGTAGCATATGGGACATCGCCTCAGCATGGCTTGATGAGCAGTGCTAGGTCCGCGCCCAGGATTCGAACCCTAGGCTGCCAAAGCAGAGCACGCAAACTTAACCATTCGGCCACAGAGCTAGTCCCTGACCTCTCATTTTAAATTCATTTTCCAAATAAAACTTTAAACTAAGAGCAACTTAGAGTAGTTAAACAAACTGGGCACCACGGCCACCCCAGACCCACTCTGATAGGCCCACAGGGGTCATAGAAATCGAAGGAGTACATATAGGTTGTTTTCTTTGAAAAAGTTCCTCTCTGAACACCGAGAAACCCAGCAAGGCTTTAGCCCAGACCCTGCAAGGTGACGGCAGCATGGGCGGCAGCAGCTCCAGGCCAAGTCACCACTTGCCCTATCGTCTTTTTCTGGGTTCAGCTCCCTGCCTGGCCCTGTGGTCAGCTGAGCTGGCTGCCCCTAACTGAAATCCTTCTTGTGTGGACTAGAGAGGAAGACATTGTCTTTAGACTCATTGAATCTTTACAAACCGGAAGTGAGAGCGTGGAAAACAGCAACTGAAAAAGCCCATTCTCCCCTTTCTGAAAAGTGGTCCAGGCCATGTCTCCGCCATCCTGGTCCCTGAAGCACCAGCAGGCCCGGATGAGACGCTCCCCTCCCTGTGGAGCCCCACACCCCGGCCTCGGCACAGGGGGAGCCTTTGTTAAGTCCCAGGACAACTGGCAGTTACTCCCAGTAACTCACGGCTCATGGAGGAAGGTACTGGTTATGTAAGAAAGTCCTCTTGCAAATATAAAAAACATAAACGAAAGATAATTATTGACTGCGCAAATTTGAACAAAGCTCAGGAAACTTCACTCAGATCCGTATTTGATTGCTCCTGTCCTCCTCCAGCCCCACTCCTGAGCGGGTGGGAGAGGGTGGCAGAGTTGCTGCAGCAGGAAGCAGACCGTGGGGTGAGGGCCGGTGCCTCAGCAGCCTCATCTGAGAGCTGTCCTGTGCTGCTCCTTTGGCTTTCTGATGAAAATGTGAAAGCCAGATTAAAGAAATGGATCCAACTGGCCTTACTGTCCATTCCTCGGCAGGCAAAGTAAGTGCCAACAGATTTCCCACCCAAACAGAGAACTTTAACAAACTCACTATTTGTAACATGCGCTAGATTTGTTAGGGCAGAGGGCATTCCCTGTGGCTCCTGGTGTCCGGGGCCCAGCCTGGTTCACCAGGAAGATGCACTAAGTCTCTATGGGATTAATCGAGCAGTCTTCTGACGAGAGTGAGTTGGGCTCATGGACTACTCTCTGTGTCCCTGCAGGAGTCTTTGAGGAGAGGGCAGTGGGAGGGGGAGACTGAGGAGGCCCATACGGCCCATGGCTCTGTCCCTCTGGCCACAGTTGGTTGCCGGGGCAACTACAGCATCTCCTCAATGGTCCCCAGCCCCTCCCCTGCCCAGGCAGCCTTCTCCACAGGCAGTCCTCCTCCTCTGACTCATGCAGGGTCAGCACATCACAGCTCGCCCCGCCCAACACAGACCTCTCCCCCACCCCCCCACCGCCAGGGTCCCCCGCTGCTCTCAGCAGGGCAAACAGGAGCTCACTTGCTCTGGATGGGCAGCTGGAACTCTTACCAGGGATTCCTGACCTGGACACCAAAGAAAGCCAATTCTCAGGCCTTCTTCAGTGGCAAAGCCAGGAGGTGTGTGACACAGAAGCCATGCCACATGGAGGACAGCACCCAAGAGAACAGAGAACACATGCAGAGAACGTCAGGGATGAAGAAAGAGCTGAGCAGGAGCACAGCCTTCCTCAGTCTGGCTCTGATGCCCCCTCTATCTCTCCCACTTCAAGCTGGGTTCCCGGGGCCTACAACCAAGAAGGCGCCAAGCAGTGATCCTGGCAAACATGTCGAGTACATGACAATACAAAAGCCAACCCAACAGCGGGGCCGCAGGATCACACAGTGTCAAAGGAGAGGAGCCCTGGTGGCCAGCTGAGTCGCAGCCTCCGCCACACTGAAAAGCGCTCAGTGCAGATGCCCACCAGCTGAGGGCTTCAGCATCTGTCGGCCGTGTGGCTGTAGGAAGCTTCCTTGACCAGGCAGGAGTGATGACGACACGTGCCAGAATGCCACGAACCTTCACAAACTAGGTCTGCAGAGCGCACCATGTCAGGGGGAGCCTAGGTACTAGCATGCACTAGCGGCCCAGCAACCCCATCCCAGGCCAACAGAGCAGACCAGGCCCTGCCTCCTCACCACCTCATTCACCAGCTCCTCGGTCCTAGGACAGCAGAATACCCAGCTCCAACCTTCGTCAACTCCTGGTTCAAGCCTGGATCTGTGCAAAGCCAGTTAATCCCTCTGAGCCTTGGTTTCCTCATGGGAAAATCTAGACAAGCCCCAACCCCTCACAGGGTCCCCCTGATGAGCAACTTGTGACCTGGTGCCTCACAGCCACCAGCTTGTCTTCCATGACTCCATGGGCAGAATCTGAACCTGACCATTCCAAGTGTGACCTAGCATGCATGACTGGTGAGTGAAGACAGCAATTCCAACTCCTCCTGCCCAGGGCCGTCCCCTCTCCCTACAACACAGCGTGCAGGTGCTCAGCTCCACTCTGAGGAAGGGCTGCCCCTGTTCAGACACATCTGTTCCCAGTAAGCACGGGAATGATGATGGAGTGAGAGCTCAGAGGCTGTCACACTACAGCAAGCATGCTGATACAGCCACCAGCTCTCTCTGAATCTACAAGAGATGATCATTTATTTTTAAGTTTTTAAGGTAGATTTCTCTTCTCGGAAAAGGTGTAGTAACCAGATAACATACTCATAGCTGTCTACTCAGCAGAAAGATCTTTCTGTTTGTGTTGAATTTCAATTCTCTCATTTATATAACAGAATCCAGGCAGGACAAGGCCACCCCGTCCAACAATGCTTCTGCTTGACCCTGCCTCCAGTGTGGACAGGGCCTTGACTCATGTCTAACAACAGCCACCAAAGCGCTCCACACCTCCCTGTCACCATCCATGACACAGGAAAGACAGTCGAGCCTGGCTTGTGGAGTGGCCGTGCAGATTAGTAAGACTACATGCCAGAATTTAGGTCAGAACCTCAGGGCACCCCCACCAGAGCCCTAAACGAGGAGCAGAGAGGATGCCATGCGGGAACACCCTCACTGGACAGGGTGTTCCTAGAAGATGCTGATCTTTGTCTCATTCATCTATGCGGCCCCAGCATGCAGGTCCTCCAGCGCCTGGCTATAGGGGGAGCCAGAGATCATGTCTGATTCCTCCTGTCCTCAGGAAGGGGAGCTCCTTGCCCCTAACTGCAGGCACTCACAGGCTCGACAGACTGAGCTATGTAAGTCTCCCCCTGGCATCATAAGAAATCACAGTGAGCTGTTTTCACAATGGCTATTCCAAAATAGGTTACTCAGTGGGGCGAGGGTGGACTCTGGTCCAGAGGCAAATATTTACCAAATGCTGGTCGTTGAGGAGGTGCACCACTCGGGACGTCCAGTCGCCCATGGGCACAAGGTCGGGAGACGTTCGGTACAAACGCAGCAAACACAGGGCAGCGCTCTGCTTCACACTGTCCATGGTATCCCTGAAAGACAGACCCCGGTGGTCATGCGAGAACAGTTGGCAGCCGCCATGCGCACCCAACAAGCCGAGCACAGCCCAGAGCTGCACCAAGGCCACTCCAGAGCAACCAAGGGACCAGAGGCGCACCAGTGGGGAGGCTGGAAGGACACTGAGAATAAGGTTGCTTCAATCTCTCCACATGATCAGACCCATGCCCACCTCCTGCAAGGGGTCTTCGTATGTACCGTGTCTGGACAGTGACGGACAATGACAACTGTCTGCTCTAAAGAGCCACCTCCACGGACTTCACATCAAACACAATCAACAGGAAAGAGTCCTGCCAACACAACTCTCTCACTGTTAACCTTATCACCTCTAAAATATCAGTTCTAACATTCTTCCCAACTGCTGAATATGACCTTGGCTACGCAGGCTGATCATATTCAACAAGCATTCCTCTTTAATTATTTGAATTACAGTATTTTTTTCTCACAATTCACTTAATAACACAATCAAAACAGAAAAGTGTCAGAGGGCTTTGCACTACCAGAGAACTCGGTGTCCACCTGGTGGCTTCCTCCCCTGCCTCCGAAACCACTATCAGGTGCCCTCCTCAGGTGCCCCACCTGCACCTGCCTTCACCCTGCACAAGCAGCAGAGGCAGCACCAGGTGCCCTCACGCCTCTCGCAGGGGCGACCGAGAAGAGTGGCAGCTCTGGGCTGGGAGCCCAGCATCCCAGAACTGGAGTGAGCACTGAGGGGCTGGGTCAGAACAACTGCAGACACCCCAGGAGAGGGCAGCTTGGAGAGCTTTCTGTTCTGGTTTTAATGCTAGTGGAGGGCACAGAATGTTTCCAATGCTCTGTTTATCCCTGCTCCTCCCTAACCCTAGGGAAACTCTGCTAAGCAACTGGGAAAGCGACAGGCCCACCAAGGAGTCCTCCAGTGGAGGCTGTCCAAATACGTCTGAAAAAGAAACAGCCAGCATCCTCAAGGCACTGACGGAATCAGTGGGGGCTCTTGTTCTGTCTGGAGAGAAGACAAGGGTTTGGGTCTATCTTTACCATCTATCTGCCTTTGGGATTTTTTATTCCTAAATGAGTCCAAACTAACATGAGAAACCCCCAAACCACCCCCAATTCTATTCCAAAGAAAAATTACTTTAGGAAAAAATTCTCTTTCGGATGCAAACACCCCTGGGGAACAGAAGTAGATATCTGTCCCTCCCTCTGGCCCCAAGCTGGCCTCATAAGGAGCAGCAGGGCAGCCATGGCCTCCAGGCCTCATGGCAGAACCTCAAGCCCACTCTGCCGAGCTCCCTTCCGCGCAGGTACACTGACAAGACCATCCTGGGTGTCTGCTATCTGTGCCACCCAGTAACACACGGCTTTGGCTTACAGTAGCCAGTTTGTTTCTATGCTTGCAGCTACGAGTCCTGACTAATACAGGAGGGCCAACCTGACCACCGTTCCCACACTGCTCCAATGCCTTCACAGAGAGCCACTCTCGGTAAGAAGGTTCGAGGAGAGGGAAGTCAACATGCGACATCCAATGGGGGGACTGGGGGATCCCTGCCTACTTTGTTTCAACTCCGTCTCCAGCTGAGGGCCCAGAGCCCAGTCCCTGGACAGCTTCTCTTTCTGAGCGCCAACTGAATCCCAGCATAAAAGGCGCCCTATCATCCCTCCCCAACATCCCGGTTCTGGTGACATGACCTTTACTTTGTACAACTAAGCTGTAACAATATGCTCTCCTCTGCACCCATCATCCTTCTGCTACTCGGCCCCATCTCTGGGCCCCAGCACCCTGAGCACTTTAGTATCAGTCCTCTATTAGTGACCTGGATTTCAAGAGTTGGTAATTTTCTTCCAGTAAGGCTCGTGGGTGCCACACTATCTAGACTTTTTGGTGTAGAACACCGGCCTACAACCTTGACTCCAGCAGGACGACTCGGCTGGGCCCAACACCAGGTCCCACAGGCCTTCTAACTTGCAGACATGGCTCAACTGTCTTCCTGCTGCAGGATTCTTTGCTTATCCTTCCATTTCAATATTCGTCCAGCCTGTGTTTCAATGCACATCCTCCTGTGTCCTTTCAATCTGCAGTGGTGGTCCATCCTTTATTTCAGGGAAATGTTCTTGAATTATCTGAATACTTTTCAGAGACTACCTCTGTTTTACATTTCATTCATCCAACAGATATTTATCAAGTACTTACTATGTACCAGGTATTGTTCAAAATGCTGGAAATAAAGCAAAAGCCATGGCAGACAAAACCCTCAGACCCCAGGGAGTTTGGGACAGCACCTCAAGCCCTCTCCAAAATGGACAAAATGGTTGTCCATTTTGACAACCAAACATGCTGAGACTTTGCCCAAGGTCCCCTGGGGCAACACTGCCGGCTGAGAACCATGGGTCTAGACCCACTAGCACTAATGAGGTGTAGGCGAGTTTTCTGACAACCCCTCCTTGCTGCTACACACCCCATACCCTCGACCCCTGCCATAGCATCCACCTGAGGCCCATCTGCACTTTCCATAGATAGAGGAACTGGAGTTGCCAGATCCTGGTCTGTCTGCGCACTGGCAGTCATCCTGGAGGACCAAGTCCTGAGTCCTGATGAAGTGCCCTAGATGGAGTCCCTTATTCAGCCAGGAGTGCTGCCCGGTGTAGGCTCCGGGTTAATTTTTTAACTCAGCAGAGCATCCTGGAACACAAAGTGGGGCCCTGTTTCAGCCGTGACCCGTGGCACAGAGGGCCCGGCACTAGCTGAAACTCTTCCAGAGCTGCCTGCTCAGCCCCACTCAGCTTCTCTCCAAATGAAAGGAAGTGGGAGGTAGGTTACTAAGCATTCTCAGGATTTGGGTGCTTGTCCTTAGTAACGCTTCTGGGAAAGGGCAAGAGGAGCCATGCCACACCACAGAACAACTGTTCCTTCTTCTTTGGCCCTATGTGAGGCTGAAGCCCCTCCGTGGTTGGTTGGTGGTTGGCAGGGTTTGGCTTTCTTCTCTAACCCACTTTAAAATCTCAGTGGTCCTGGGGGAGGGAAGGTCTGGCTGGACCTCACCTGACATCTAAACTCGTAGTTCTAGATCCAACTTTCAACTGTCTCACGTCACCCCCACTAAAAACGATGGGAGATTACTTACTTTATAAATTCTTTAAGTAGTTACATATTTGATTTATTCGACATGAGAGATACATACTTTTAGCACATCACAAGACACATACCCAGCTACGAGGATTTTAGGAATCTCCCCAGCAAACGCCTCAGCCATCTCTCGGCTGCCCACGTTGGCGATGCAGTGCAGGGCCAACCCCATGAAGGTGGGGTTTCGACTAGCCAGGTCATTCTTGATGGCGTTGTTGATCAAGCGGATCAGCTCACTGTTAGAGTTCACCAACACAGAGATGAAGAGATAGCCCTGGGTTCCAGAAAGACAAGAGAACAGAAAGCTCATGACAATCTAACTCCACATGGGTGCTGAGATACCTTGAGGACGACAACGCAGACACTTCCAGCCTTCGGTGAGCCTCCAGCACTATTCCAATCTGCTCAGCATACTGCTGTCAGACTCATGCCACCTGCATGTTAATAAAAACACCAGTTCTGTTACAGAAGCAAAGTCTCTGCTTCCGATTCTGCCATGGGACAGTCCTTCAGGATGAATCTAAGAGGCATTTAGTCAGATGTCCCCACGAGAATCAGACATCTTGGTCCTCCCCCAAGTCACACTCACTTCTCTGTGGTGACACGTCTGAGTGCCCTGTAATCACCGCTATCCTGAACAGGATGGGAAGGGGCCTTCAGGCAAAGGGCCTGCCTTGGCTGTAACTAAGAAACTATGGAGATTTCCAGAAACCCAACTGACTGCTGTCTTCCCCTCTCCTGAATCTGTCTCTGTGTCCCCAGCTTCCCCTCACCACCCAGGCCAAACTCCAGTGACACCACTGTTCACGCCCTCCCCACACAGGGGGACATAGTGATTTTCTCAAGACTCGTCTGATCACTGACCAGGCAGGTTAAACCCCTGCCCAGCTTCCTGTCAGCCTCAGGAGCAAGGCCCCATCCATAAGCCTACTCCTGCTCTCCATTCTGGCAGCTGCTGCCCTTTCAGCTCTGCACTCCCACGCACGTGCCCTTGGCAGGGTGCCACCTGCTCTGTCTGCCCTCATCCCCCAGCTAACTCCTTGCTCTCAGTCTCAGCTCAGGACGCCCTCCCCAGGGAGCCCCCCCTATAGCCACCCCCTCCTCAGGGTCCCAGAGGGTTCTGCACGCCTCCTTCCCCAAGCACTGGCCACAGCTGTAATTCTCTATTTCCCGCACTGTCTGATGCCATCTCCCCGCTGGACAAGAGCAGGGCCCATGACTGCTTTTGATCACTGTGTCCCCAGGGGTCTCCCCAGCACTTTGCTTGGTCCATGGCAGACTCTCAATAAACTCTTATTGAGTAAATACCAATAGTTAACAAAATTCCTGGGGCATCTAGGGTATTTTTTCACTTTCTGTAGTTAAATTTTTGGACAAATAGAGGAAAATGGTACTTTGTAATACTGGAGAAAACATACAGAAATAATGTTACTCCAACAGGATGCAGGACTGAAATTACAAAGCCAGAGAGGCTTCAGGAGCTGGGCACAGCACTGTCTAAGAAGGTGCTGGGAGCTGGGAGCGAGGCAAGGGCACACCCATCTGGAGCTCTAGGTCTTAAACCATGGAGGTATGGTGCCCATTTCAGAAACAGAAAGTTGTACAAGGGGCCAAGGCAAAGTGATCTGCGACAGTGCATCAGCCAGGTGCTGTAGGAAAGGACACGCCCCTCCATCCCTCTGAGGCGGACCTCATGGGAAAGAGCCGCACCCAAGGCACCAGGACATCACAGCTGGACTTCGTGTAGCCCATCCAAACCCACAGGAAACTCCCAGCCTGGATGGAAGCCATAAAGAAAGAACAAGAAAAGAAATGGCCACCTGATCAGAAGAACCTTACCCAGGATGCCTGGAGCACGCTGGACAGTGGGAAAGGGGAGTGAGGCCCCAGCCGCCTCAGGTATCAGCACCTGGAGCTCCGTGGGTGGGACAGGCGTCCTCAGTACCATCCCGCCCCAGCCCCAGCCCTGCAGCCACACTCACAATCTGCTTCTCCGTGTATCTGTTGGAGCTCAGCAGGTTCACGGCCTCCATATGTCCAAAGTCAATGTCGTGACCCAAGAGAAAGATGAAGAGCAACTTGCAGACGTATTTTTTTTTACTATAGCCATCAAGAGCCTTGTCACCTACGGAAAAGGTGGGTGAGGCAGGGAAAGCAGAGAACTCATCAGCAGGAAGCATATGAGCCAACCTCCAAAAGAGAGGCAGCTAGGCCCCTGGGCAGACGCACCACAGACAGTATGGGGCATGAATGATATTTTCTAACCGGGTGATACACATCAGAATCCACATGTTTGGCTTCCCTTAAAAAACAGAAACCAGAACACATGGCAGAAAGAGTTCTGCCCTCCCAGGACAGCCCTGGGCAGGTGCAGTTGGGCCAGGCCTGGGCCTCACCCCACACTGCCACAATCCACCAGGGCCCCGGGAGCAAGCCCGACCTTAAACCAGCACGTTACTCTTTAAATGTTTATCAATTTAGGCAGATGCACATACTCTAAACAGTCTTCCATTTCACACCAGTTTCAGGACAAATCACCCACTCACAGAGCTCACACACAGGGGATGAGAAGGGCATCTGCATCTTCACCCAACCCCGGCTGACGGAGCACCACACTAGAGGTGCTGGCAAGGTGGACTCCAAACACGTCGCTGGCAGAATATAAAACGTCATTTTAAAAAGGACCACTGCCATTTCAAATACCAGAAGTTATTATTTCACCTGAGAAGTGTAAGATATTCCTTAGAGTCAATCTCTAGAGACTGTAGAGGTGACAACCAGAAAGGGTGGTCATCTTATTAAGCTAGTCTTATGGGGACACTGCTGCCACAGTATGAAGGGCCCATGTAGGACACAGGGGAAGCAGAAGATGACGACACAATGCTCCTCATTAGTAAGGGGTCGGGACACTCATGTTCCATGAACGAGCACTGGCAGACCTCAAAGAACTGTCTAGAAGAAAGAGCCCCCTGCCCAAGATTTCATGGGGAGACAGTTGATTATGTGTCAGCCAGGCAGTTGGACACCTTACCTTGAGGAGCTCTGAGAACACTCCCTCCCTTTCAGCAGCAAACTGACACACAATTTACTGACCAAACAATATAAAAGCGGACCAGGCCTGGTTCCCCCAAGGACCCACTATTCGCTCATCTGATTGCTGTGCCCGAGAAGGCCGGCTCTGTCACTTCCTGGCTGGAACACATCCCCGTCAACTGTGGGAAAGCGTCGGCAGGTGGGGGGCATGCAGCCCACCATAGCAGCAGCCATCCCCTAACTCCTACCCATCTAGCTGTCCTTCAAGAACCGGCCCAGATTCCATTGTCTTCTGGAAGCCTCCTTTGACAATCAAGTCCAAAGTACCTCCCCAGGGCCGGCCCACTGGCATAGTGGATATGTTCGCAGGCTCTGCTTCAGCGGCCCAGGGTTCGCAGGTTCACCTCCCAGGTGTGGACCAACATAGTGCTCATCAAGCCACACTGTAGCGGCCTCCCACAAACAAAGTAGAGGAAGACTGGCACAGATGCTAGCTCAGGGACAATCTTCCTCACACTCACAAAAAAGTACTGCCCCAGGCCAGTCCCAGGGGTCTAGTGGTTAAGTTTGGCATGCTCCACTTCAGTGGCCCAGGTTTGGTTTCTGGGATAGGACCTACAGTACTTGTCACCAGTCATGCTGTGGCAGCAACCCAAATACAAAAGAAAAAGAGGAAGATAGCCAGCAGATGTTAGCTCAGGGCGAATCTTCCTCAGCAAAAAATAAACAAAAAAAAAAGTACCACCCTACCTCCTCTCACCTCCTAGAGACAGGTCCCTGCTCCTCAGTTAGAGCACGTTTTAGAGGGAAACCCAGCAGTGTGAGAGGAGACAGCGACAGCCCAGTCAGACTGACCTTTAGGCAGATGGCCAGGGAGGCACAGGGGCGCTTTCCCTGAAGCACCATGGCTGGTTTCTGCTCCTGCAGGACCCCAAAGGCAGGGTCCCTCCTACAGCCCTTCCCAACACTGGGAGACTCACAGGGACACACATTTAAAGGTTAGGCCCACAGAAAGGGAGGCTGTGGTGAGGGCAAGAACAGTCAAGCATCTCTCAGCCCTGACAGTGCCATGACACGGGGTAAATGCCCAGGCCCAGAAGGCAGTGTGGGCACTCACAAAGCATTGAGGAGGGCTGGAGACCGACCTGGGTCCCAGCCAGAGTGGAGACGACAGGGGACCCCGCCTGAAGCCAGAGCACCAAAGGGGCTACATCCTCAGTGAGAGGGTGGCAGGGGAACCTGCACTTGCAAAGGGAACCGAAAGGGAGACTGGTCTGTCGGTGCCACAGCTCAGTGCAAACGGGGAAAAGTAACAGTCCCCGAGAATACGTGGCCCAGATCTGCTCTCCCTCGGGGCTGGGCACCCCCAGAGGTGCAGACACACAGCTGGCTCCCTCTGTCGAGGCACCTCCTCCAGGTGCCTGCCCCAGTTTGACTCTTCCTCATCTAAGGTGCTCCTCACCTGCTCAAGAGTGACCCCTGAGGAAGCCTTTCCTCTTCATTGATTGCATCCAAATGAGGCCCGAGCCCTGAGTCCTCCCTTCAGAACGGTTCTCTTTCTCATCAGAAACTGTGCAGCTGGGCGGGCTTCCTCCATCAAGCAGCTCCCATGAAGACTCAGGCCTGAGGGCTGGAGGAACCATCACTTCCCGGGACATATGCCGGTGTCAGGCTGGGGGCTCCCGCAGAGCTTCGGCTGGGTCTAGGGGGCGCTCACTGCAGGCTCGCCTGCTGGACCTGAGGTTGATGGTGACCCCACTGCTTTGTCTGGCAAGTTTCAAACCATCAACCCTCCCAGACCTGGCTTCTCAGCAGCACGCATCTGTGAGGGCTGCAGACTAAGAGGAGGGCCACCTCTGAGTTTGAGAATGACGTCATAATGCATCCTGCCTCAGGCACACCTCACACACTCTGAAAACCCTCCATCAGGGCAAGGAGAGCCACCCCAGGCACTCTGTGCCACTGCTCCAAGGGACAGCACTTGCACTTCAGACTCAGTGGAAGGCCTTGAAAACAAAAGCCTGCTCGTTTCTGTCAAGAAAGTGTGTTTGCTAGCTCCACCTGCATTCACCCGGCACATCCCCAGCACCTACCACCTATCTACCTCGGGAGCAAGGCCCAGGCAGAGTGCACAAGAAACCCCTTCCATGTGCATGAGGAGCCCAGCATCCTGACAGCCCTCCACAGGGTACTGCTGGGCCTGGCTCTTCATTCTTCAGGAGCCCAAGCCAGTCTCCCAACTGCAAAACTCACTGTCAGGACACAGAGGGTCCTCAAGCCAGTGGTCAGCTCCAAACACACCTCCACAAAGCTCGGGCCCAGGGCAGAACCCCTCTGCGCCTTTCCTTCACAGCTGTCTCCAAAAGGAGCACTGAGGGACACAGGTGCAGGAAGGGGCCTGCCCGCAGTTTGGGGTGAAGATGGGAGGAGCTCTGTGGTCCCACAGTGACCTCTCGGCCCCACCCTGGCCATAACCTTCCCACAGCCCTCTCAACACGACCCTAGCGGCCAGATAGGTTCCTGCCCACACCAACATCCAGATTTGCCCAGCAGCCCCACACAATTTGCCTGTGGATGGGGGAGTTCCTGCCCTCTGCATGCCCCCAACTCTGCACCCTGGCCAAACCAGTGACAACCTTCTCTGTCCTCTGAGCTTCTCCGCTCTCCAGCTGGCTCACCTACCTGCCCTGATCCAGGAAGGGGCCTCCAGATTTGTTCTCCTGGGAGCTCTCCTTCAGCCCCAGGCCACACCGCCCCCTTGTATCTTAGTCACTCTTACCAGAGCTCAGTAATTCTTTACAGTAAACATCCCTAACTCTCACTGTGGTTTCTCTCTCCTGATTGGACCAGACTGAGACAGTCCTTAAAATGTTAGTTTCAATATTGGGCTAGAATTGTTTTTTGATTCCACTAATTTCAAACTGTTAACCAGAGCCTTTTCTGAGCTGTAAATAGGGATGATGGTAGTGACACCCATATCCCTGCTTGGGAAAGCTGGCCACAAACTACAAATGCATCCTGACTGAGGATCAGGGTCCAGGCTGTGTCCTGGGGTCCCTCAACTTCTCTAAGGCCCGCTCCTCACTGGGCCGTTAAGGAAATGAAGCAGGACACTGCTCCAGGGGCTTAGTGGCACCTGGAACAACGTGAGACCACCACTGAAGCTAATGAGGACCATATTTCACGGGCTCTTGACATGCATGCTGGTTTCAGAATGTGAAAAATGTGAAAAAAAAATCTTAGAATGACTAAAACCTGATTTTTTTCTTTTTTGAGGAAGATTAGCCCTGAGCTAACATCTGCCGCCAATCCTCCTCTTTTTACTGAGGAAGAGTGGCCCAGAGCTAACATCTGTGCCCATCTTCCTCTACTTTATGTGGGACGCTGCCACAGCATGGCTTGATAAGCGGTGCACAGGTCCCCACCTGGGATCCAAACCGGCGAATCCTGGGCCACTGAAAAGGAGCATGCAAATTTAACAGCTGCACCACTGGGCCAGCCCCATAAAACCTGATATTTTTACAACAAAATATCAAATAGATAAAACACAAGACTGGAGAGTGGGCTGGTCACCACAGCATCTGGACACATGGACATGCTTCCTCTTCCTCAAGTGCCGAAGCCAGAGGGAATGATAGGCGCCCTTGACAGTCACCCGCCATCTGGGTCAGAGCCAGGTCGGCCCTCTGCACCCCACATGACGGGGCTCCCCAGCACCTGCCGCTCCTGCCACACTGCATGTGTCCCCTGCCTGCTTTGTTCCTGCCGCAGCCTGGGACCACACCCCGGCTCTAGCACCAGTTAACCTAATAACCACCCACTCGTCACTCATGCTTCTCAGGCCCCATCCTGACTCTTTAACAGTGGCTATGGTCAAAAATAGTCCAAGATAACCCCTTTTTAAGAATAGGGAAAGGTAGCCAGCCCAGTGTCTGTAAGCTTTGCTTATGACTCTAGGAGGCCTCAGGCTGACATGAATTTGCCATTTGTGCCTTAAGGACAGGACCCCTGTGCTAAACACAGACATGGCCCCCAGACACATAGGTTTCTAAACCTCTAGCCTCTACCAGGGTTTGGGAGGTCACACATGCACCCACATAAAGGTAGGGAGAGGGCTCCTAGCCCACTGTGAGAACTGAGCCTGACCACCCCGAGTCAGGCCCTACCCTGCCAACGAAGTGTTCTCATGTGACAACTAAGACGCTGAGAATAATCTCCAGGTCTCCGCACGATGCAGGAATAACTTTCTGTCACTAGGAAAAGGTGACCAAGACCCAGACTCTTCTGGATGATTTCTAGGCTGTGACCCTTTTTTCACCCTTCCTCTCACAGAGATGGGTGCTCAACGCATCTTATTCTGTTCAAAGAGGTAAAAAGGATAAGACACCAAGGGCAGACAGGAAGTCCCCTGCTTCTGCACTGTGCTGGTACCACTGCCTCCAAGGCTCCCCTCACCCCATGTCAGGTAAAGTGCCCCCTCCTCTGTGAAATGTCTCACAATGGCTGGCTCCAGAGTATTGCCTTCCTTCCCCAGTGTCCCCACAGACCCGGGGCATGTTCTTCACTCGCTATAAAGCTCAACTGATTTCAGCTGTTTAAAAAGGGAGATGTGAATTAAAACCACAAGAAGGTACCACTACAGTCCCAGTAGAGTAACTAAAATTTAACAGATTAACCATAGCAAGTGCTGGCGAGGCTACGGAGGAACCGGGACTCTCACAGGGCTGCTGGGACGCACGACGGTGCAGCCACTCCGGAAAACAGCGTGGCTGTCTCGTAAAAAGTAAAATACACACCTTCCATATGACCCAGCCAGTCCACTCCTAGGTATCGACCCAAAAGAAATGAAAATACGCATCCACACTCTGACTTGCACACCAATATTCACAGCAGCTTTACTCACAACAGTGGAGAACTGGGAAAAACCCAAATGCCCATCAACTGGTGAGTAAAGCACGCTGTGTGGGAACCAATCACTGACACCCGTGACGTGAACAAACCCTGAAAGCACTGTGCTCACTCACAGAAAGTGACGCAGAAGACACGACGCCACACAATTCCTTTCACATGAAGTTTCTAGAAACAACAAAACCATAGTGACAGAAAGCAGATCAATGGCGGCTGGGGAAGGTGGTTAAGAGCAAAGGGGCACCAGGGGACATTCTGGAGTGGTGGAAACGTTCTCTATTTCGTCTGTGGTGCTGCTGGCTGCATGAATACATGCATTTGCCAAAATTCAAAGTGCACATTTAAAACGAGTGAATTTTATTTCAAACATACTGTATCTCATAAAGACACTTTTTAAAAATTACTCCATCAAAATATTCCAGGAAAAAAAGAAGAGCAAAAGATGAAAGCACATTACAAAATGATGGAAACTGGTAAAGCTGGGCAAGGAACACCTGCAAGAGAACAGTATAATAAACCCCCTGACATGTAAGCTTTCATGTTTCCTCAGTAAAAAGTTCTGGGTTTTTAAAGTCTTTCTACACCTACAATAACATACATTCTTTATGGGAAGTTTTCCTATTCATCTCTGTAGCCCTCGTGCCTGGAACTTAGTGAATACCGCCAGCAGTTATTTAGCAAATCCATGTACGCCATCTGGTCAACTTCTGAAGACAATCAATAGCAGGAAATTACCATATCTCTGCTTATATACAACACAACAGTTTTTCTCTGAAGGTTTCAAGGTTGAGGGTATGCCAGTTAATGTCATCACAACTACACCGTTCCACCTCAAAATTTAGTGGCTACACAACCAGCAGGGATTTTTTGCTCAAGAGACTGCAAGTCAGCCGGGGCTTGGCTGGGGCTGCCTCCACCACCCTAGTCACCCAAGTTGCATCTGGACCTGCTTTGTGTGTCTCCCAGCCTCCCGACCCAGCCGCAACCCAAGCATGTGCTTCTCACGGAGAAGATGGGAAATGAGCAACCCCCCTTCAAGTTTAGGTTTGCGAGTGGCACACAGACACTGTCTCCATCCCACAGGCCATGTCACATGACCAAGCCCCACCTCCTTCTTCAAATGATAGCGCTCACCAGGGGAACCACTGGCCTCCAGCTTTCTTGACGGCAAGGTTTTTATCTATAGATGCAGCTCTCTCGTGTTCCTGGGACTACCGGAGTTTTACCATGCTTTGTCTGTTTGCTAAGTATTTTACTTCTACATGTATTTTTAATTTCACAAACATTATTATACCAGAGATTGTGTAAATTTACCTACGTATCTACCACTTCTTTCCTTCTTTTCTGTATCTATTTTTCATGTGGGATTATTTTGCTTCTGGTCTGAAGTAGATTAGAATTTCCCTCAGTATGGGCCCTCTGGTGAGAAATTCTCTCCATTTTTGTCTGAAAAGGGTCTTTTTTAGTTTCACTCTTAAAAGACCTTGTTGCTAGGTAACGGTTCCAGTGGGCTGTTATTTTCCAGCATTTGAGTTTTCCATGTGGTTCCACCTCCCTTGTCACTGTGAGAAGCCAGCTGTCAGCATACATGTCGCTCCTCTGAAGACAGCCCACCTTTTTGCCTCTGTGGCTACTTTTAAGATTTCCTCTCTTTGGATTTATACATTTTCACAATAATGTGTCTACGTGTAGATTTCATTTTATTTATCTGAACTGTTTGCTGAATCTGTGGTTTGGTGAATTTCCTGAATTCTTGAAAGTTCTCGGGCCCACCATTCCTCCTTTCCCTCTGGACACCAATGAGGCCTTCCAGACCCTTCCCCACACCCCATGTCTCCCACCCACTCTGCAGTTTGCCCTTTCGTCCTCCATCTGGGCCACGTTCAGGAGAGGGATTTTTCTCACCTTTCAGAACATTAAATCTCTCTCCAACCATGTCTGTCATTATGTCTGGCCATTGAGTCCTTCCTTTTGATTACTGTGTCTCAGTTCTAGAACTTCCATCTGATCAATTTCAAAATCTGCTGTGTCTACAGTTGGCAAGTTTCCTACTGAAATTTTCAAGTTTGCCTTTTATCTCTTTAAAAATGGTAAAGCTGGGACTGGCCCTGCAGCCAAGTAGTTAAGTTCGCGCGCTCCACTCTGGCAGCCCAGGGTTTCACCGGTTTGGATCCTGGGCGCAGACACAGTACCGCTTATCAGGCCATGCTGAGGTGGCATCCCACACAGCACAACCAGAGGCACTCATAACTAGAATATACAACTATGTACTGGGGGGCTTTGTGGAGAAGAAGAAAAAAAAAAGAAGACTGGCAACAATTGTTAGCTCAGGTGCCAATCTTTAAAAAAAAAAATGGTAAAGCTAGTTCTCTACTATAATCTGAATCTGGTGTCAGAGGTCTTTGTGATTCTGTTTCTGCTGTCTCTGCTGGTTCTTGCTCATCACGTCTTGCATCTCTGTGTGCCTGATTATCTGTGACTGCATGCTGGACATTATATGTGAAAAATTATCTGTAGGAATCATTTGCAGCCTACAATGACAATATCTTCCTCCAGAGAAGCCTGTTTTTCTTACCTTAGTTTAAGTTCAAGGCTTGAGGTTCTGCAGAGCATCCAGAGGTTAGAAGCCCAGCTGCAAGTCTATGACAGGACGGGCTCACTTCCAGTTCACTCTTGCCCTAAGGGCACTGCCTTGGAGGGCCTCAGTCTAAAGTGGAAGGGGGTCTCTACTTTGGTGGGCTCTGGGCTTTGACTTTTCTCCTTCTAGACCAGAGCTACTCAACCTCAGCACTTTGACATCTCAGGCCAGATAATTCTTAATGGGGGGCTGTAAGGTGTTTAGCACCGTCCTGGCCTCCAACCACCAGATGGCAGTAGCACACCCCATCCCTAGTTCTGACAACCAAAAATGCCTCCAGGTCTTGCCAAATGTCTCCTGGAGGGCAAAATCACTCTGATGGACAACCACCCCTACAGACTTCCAAGGTCATCAAAAATAGAGCTCTGTTTCGTAGCTGTTTCTTTGGGATTACCAAATGCTCTCAAGGCACAAACAGCTGAGTGCTGCACTTGCTTCCGTGGGCACTTTCCTTCTCCCACATAAGGCCCAGTGATTCTTTTTTCTTGTTACTCTATGATGCTTCAAGACTTTTTTAAATCCTGTGTCTCTTTTTAAGTTGTTTTCAGTGGAAGAGTTGGTCTAAGTCTACATCACTGTCCAAAGTGGCAGCTTCTAGCCACACACAGCTACTAAGCAATTGACTATGGCTGGTCTGAACTGGGTGTGCTCTAAGTGTAAAACACACATGAAACTTCGAAG